AAAAAACGGGAAAAAAAAAAAAACGGGAGCTATGAGGACCGTTGGCTTTAAAGGCGGTTAGTGAATATTTCATGTTTGATGACTTGATAAATTCGGAAGACTATTTGTGAATAAACATTGTAATGTATTGTGAAATATGGGGTTCTTTAGTTTCTTTCTGTGTTATCTGTTTGTAACTGATTGCAGTTGATTAGTGTGTCGATTTAGAGAAGAGGGGAAGGATCAGCATTGTTACGTATTGATAACAAAGTTTTTGCTACACTTTACGCAAGGCGAAAAAGTTCTTTCCAGGCTGGTTGAATGGGGGTTCACTCTCATCTGCGAATAATTTGTTGCTCTCTTGTACACGTAATTTTAAATTCTTTTTACCAATCAGGGGTCATACCAGTCATCTTTTGGACTACTACAGGCTGATGGGATATGCTGCAGAAATGACTTTTCATTTTTGTTTTTGGGCAATAGTAAACAGAAAAGTCAGTATATAAAAAGGTGCATTAACAACTGGTAGTTAATTTGCTGAATTTTGTCAAATTACTCTCGTTCTTTAGTTTATCATATGGTAATAGTGTTGAGCTGCAAACTATCTTGGGCTATTATACTACAGTAAACTTCACAACGGCATACTTCAGGTTTTCGGTTTCTAAAGAAGACAGTCGAATAGAAGTCTTATTTCTTGAGGTTATCATCACGCTGTGGTGCAGACTTCGAAGGTTATGCTTGAGCATGTGGCGTCAGTTGTGCAACATTTGTAATATTTATTTAGAGATTGCTTGGTGCATTTCGGGTACTAAAAAAAGGTTGTTGCAAACAGAGGTGTTTAATTAAGCTCAATTAGACTGAAGGTATTGTATATTTATTGCCCTGTTCTATTAATTTTCTGCATTCGTTTGTATCAGTTTTTTAATGAAAATAAAAAGTATCAAAACTGTCTGCCTGACTGTGGCTGAATTTTTGTCATTGATTTTTTTTTTAAATTTAAGAATTGGATGTTTTTTTACTGAATCGGTGAAAGAGAACTGAATTCTTTGAAATTTATTATTTTGAATGGGGGTTTCATAGTTTTTTCTGATTTTCAATTGTTATTTATTTCAAGGAAACAATTGAAACACCGGTGATTTGAATGCTTGCCGAACTACTTTGGTCGACCAGTAACATTTTTTCACTATAAATTAAAATTGCTCTAATGGAACTGTGGGACTGTTTCCAGATTTTTTTAAGTCGACAAAAATTAACAGAGTTTCAATTTTTATTCTATTCTTATTTTTCTAATATAATTGTTCATTTTAGTAAAGCTGTATTTCAATCCCAACAGTTGCCAATTGATGCATTAGTGTTATGAAGCTTACTGTGACGAGAAACCATTGGGAATTAAACAAAGGTTCCAAAAAAGTTAACATTACCATTACGATCAGTTTAGAATGAATATTTTTTGCATAGTCCTCGTACTTTTCGTTACCGCTGGTGCTGGCTTTCCGCCGTGTCCAGGTGGACTGAGACCTGGTGCTCCTTGCCGGACTATAATCGACTGTCCAAATTTAGAGCCATATTGCAGCAACAGCGAACAATGGTGTTTCCATGGAACATGCTGTTCCACTTGTGCTAAACATTGAATTCCCTTATTATCGACAGTAAGAAACTACGTACTCGAATATATATCTGAAATCTATTTTTGCTGAAGAAGTTTCATACTTATTGCAAAATTTAATTTATCAATAATTTGAATAAAAATTAAGTTACTTTGTAAGTGAGTGTTACAAAATTTATAATTTGTTAATCAGTCAGCAGTAGTGATCAGTTGACCAATACTCTGTACATCTAAATTTTACTGAAGTCAGCAACAGTATAGGAAAATGGTTAATAATTTTAATGTAATTATAGTGAAGAAAATTCTAATCTCAGTATTTTTTTAATCTCCAGCTATTGTAAAGTGGAATAAGTTTTAGGTTTGAAAAACTACTAACATCTACGAACAATCATAATTTTTCAGAGTGGAATAGTGTCTCAGTTACAACCTTATTATTCTTATGCAGAAATCGTTCCAACTTTTCCACCTTAACGTGTCCCAGCATCATTCACTTGGAATCTTTGTGTTTTCATTACGCCCTTATAAAGTTGTTTTGATGCTAGTTAACTTCACTTAAAATATGAATTACTTCAATAGACAGAATAAAGGAACTTTTGCTCAGAAGTAGTGTCATCTTTTCAGCCATACTGCACTGTAGACAACAGACCGAAGTTACTTCTTGCAAAAGTAAAATTGGGTTGTAATTTTTTCAAGAGGACATTATTCAATACACCAAATTAAATTTCTAAAAGAAAATGTGAGCCGGTTAACCATTTATAACGTTTCATTTATCACTTCTTTAGCACCCATGGGATTGAAGAAGAAACTGCCTTAGTCTCAAAGTCCAAAAATCCAAAGTATCATGCTTTTGTACAGAAACTTGATAAACAGATTGTGTCGCCACGGCAAAAGTGTTTGAACAGAAGCTTGTAAGGGACCAAAAAATCTGCACTTTTCATTTCCTTTAGAACTTTACTTTAGAAAACAACTGCTTAAATAGCTTTTGAAATATCTCCTTAATTTTTGCGTAGTGGAAGACGTGTTTTCTTTTGAACAGCCTTCACTTAACGGTTTTCGGTAAATATCTGGTCACACTCAATATCAGATAAAATGACGCCCGCGAAAACATTCGTTAAGCCAAACCTGCATTTTATAATGAAGTGTTTAGCACTTTCATCTTTGATTTCACTTTTGGGTAGAAAGTCAGGTTTACTTGTGACATACTCTAAAGAATAAGACTTTGACTACTGTTTTCACGTATTAAAAGCTGTATAGATAGCATTGTAACACAAGCAGAAGAATTTTAATAGATACCACACGTAAGAATCAAAAATCAAGCAGGGCAGGTGTTCATATAAATACCACGTATCCAAAGAAACAAAAAAAGCCCACAAATGTATAGAAGAATTAAGTAAGCACTTTTATTATCACGGTATCATTACCACGCTTTTAATCATTAGAATTCATAGAATTGCTACCGATAAAAGTTAAAATACTATAAGGCTGTAGGAAACTTTTGAGAAGCAAAAAACTGCCATCACAACCAACCAAGAATGCAGCATAATGACATGTAAATAAAAGTATCATCGTAAAGACAGCGACGACTAAAGTTGTAGGTAAAAAGTGCAAGTTTTGGGTGCTTTCTTGAATATCTTACACTATAGCAAAGCCAGTCGTTCTAACTTTACGTATACGCAATACTTTGCTTCCATCTCTGCTGAATAGGTTGAAAAAGCTTTAAAAAAACCATAGCAGTTTGGTTTTTTTCCCAGTATGTTTGTACATTGGAATGCAATTAATTTTTCACTGGCCGCTTATTTCAAATGATACTGAAATTTCAAGCTTGCAAAATTTGTTGCAAACATAATAAGAACGAATTAACATAATAAGAACGAATTAAGAAAAAAATTTGTATAGCAAATTTTGCTGCGTTCCTCTCCTCTTACAGTACTCTTGTCAATACTGACCTGTTTTCAAAAACTAAAAGTTTAAAAGACGACGAAAGATGTTTGTTACGATAATTGTATCGTCAAATAAATTGTGTACTAAAGACCATACTGGAAAGTAACAAACCAAGCTTGTAAAATAGTTACCTAGCAGCACTGCTACTTATGCCTTGAAGGTAGACCATTCCTGGGAAAAATCATGACAACTACAACTGCATTCGGTAACTTTTTTCGTCACCAAAGAACGTTTGCAAATAAAGTGGTTTATGTCAGTTGTTAACTGACCAGCAAGCGTGCAGCAATGATCGTAACAAATTAATTATTGCTTTAAAGTACTTTACTAATCATTTATTTGAAAACATTTATATACAGCCAACAGGACAAAAACGTATAAAAGTATTGATCAATATGGGACCAATATTTTATTTAGCGTGTTTCGTTACATTCAGACTTCTTCCAGTGTTGACAGAGAAC